AGGCTGCGTTTTTTTTTCTGATGAGTAAGCAGCAGTGCAATTTATTTACTTACTGCAGGAGCAGTGTGTATGTGTCACTTTTAGTATATGAGTAATTGAATTTCCTGATACCAAATGGCAGAAAGATTTGAATTATTTACTTGTGAAATCTGTAGGTATAGCTCACTACATGGTGTTGAAAAAAACTGAAAACCCCAGCAAGATTTACTCATGCATTTGTATCTGTATGTGCTTCTGCGTGACAGTCTTTTAGTGAGAACTGGTACTATACTTAATTTTAATTCAGGAGAGCTCCTCCAAAGATCCGAACACTTAATAATTTTTATTAAGGTCTCAAAAGTGTGAATTCTGACTGTCATATACAGTCTTAGCTTCTGCCTCTCTCTTGCTCTCAGAATACACTGAATCCAGAGGAGTTCACATGTCTGTAAGGTCTTTTGCACACAGCTGTTCCTCAAAACTTGTAGCAGTTTTCTCTGTCTCACTTAGCTGTTGAGCACTGCACTGATTGTGCCCTTACTCTCAGAAAGCTATCTGTGTATCGATGACATTTCCTATGCTACTTCAGAAACTGTGCATTTTCTAAATGATTTCTGTTCACTAAGAGTCAGGTGGCCAGTGCAGAACTGTGATTCACACACATAACAGTCAGATTGCACAGGACTTGCACGCATGTGCTGGCTTAATTTACAATCAATACTTCAGTAGTCCACCTCTGATTTTTGAAGTAAGCAGTAAATTGCCAGTTGTGAGTATACTGATTTCTGTGAAAGCAAAACTGTTTTCTCAGCTGCAGGGGACCTAATTCTTCATTCTACGTTTGTTTTTGTTTTTTTTTTTTTAATGTATTTGCAAGGTTTGATTATGAAGCACTGGAACCCAAAACAGCATATTGCATAATAAGAGATTTGGAAGCTTTGATCACTGACAAATCATTCAGCCATCAGCAGTTTGCTGTGGGTAACAGTATCTACAGTGTGGAAAGAACAGAAAACTTTGAGTACATAGATCCCGTGGATGGCACTGTGACCAAAAGACAGGTATGGATGTGGTGGTGGAGTACCAAAGTTTTGCAACAGTCATATTGTCTCTAACAGTGTTGTTTCTAATGCTTGGCTGGTAAGCCTCTCCATTTATTTATAGGATGGTGTTTTCTTTGCTCTGATAGATACCACATTTCCTACTTAAGATTAGCTCAATCTGGATAAGATAATCCACCTCTGGTTCAGCTTGCACTTACTGTGGATAACTGGCGGCAGTCTTGTCACAGAGAATGTAAGAGTTTGGAGTCGCTGTTGACAGCAATACATGTTAAGAGAGGGTTCCCTTTCCTGAACAATGGAAAGTGTCATGTAAAAATAGTCTTTGCTTTTTCTGTTTTCTATCTGAAAATTTCACTTGCTATACATTACAGAAAAAGTTGAATTTTCTTGCTTTTGGTGACCCACAGAATTTGCATCATTAAGACAAAATGTCTGTTGTAGCAAATAGCATGCAGAGAACTTTAGTGGGTTTACTGTGTGTGGGCTGTGGGCATGTTTGACTCGTCTAGCCCAAGTGACCACCTCTGTGTTCTGTCTGGGCTGTGTCCCATAATGAGATCCCCTAGCTATCAAGAGCTGCAGCTCAGACTGAGCCTTCAGTATTTGGAACTTCACGATGTGCTCAAAACTAACCGTGTACTTTCATCAGGTGTAAATGTATATTCAGACATCTTGAGTATGAGCTATGACTCATACTAAAATGTGTTCTGATTTTATGCTGTTTAGTTTTATTGTCCTAGTTTCTCTGGCTTGTAAATTACTTGATCAGACCCTAGCAAATGGTATTACAAGCCATTAAAACAGTTGTCATGCCATTCTGCTCAGTCATTATAGTTTCCATTCATCACTGCATCCAGAAAATGCAAGCAGCCCACCTGCCACTGAGCTACTGTCTTTGTGCATATTACTGGTGAAACAAGATAGAAGGATATTGTCATATCCAGATCCACTGGAAAATTACAGGTGTGGCAGGCCTGTGGCCCTGGTACTTCTGAAAAAAACAAATAAAAAACCCAACAAACCCGCTTGTGAATTTTCAGCACACTTTGCTTTCCCTTAGTTTTCATCCAAAGCCCTTTTCGTAAACTGGAACGTAATTGCTCATCATAGCACCATGTAACACAAACAGGAAATATGACTTGGACTGTTTCCAGATGGACTCTGAAAGTGAGCCCATAAAACCAGAAAGCATGTCTTTTCATAGGGAGAAGCACGTATTTATTGAGAGTACAGTTCAACCAGTTTGTCTTTTGGCAAGGTCACATTCCTAGCTCCACGTGTCTGCAGCCTTGTTGGGATAATAAAGTAAGAGAGAACGTTGATCCATGCAAATGAAACAGCAGTTCACTGCTGCCGTTTTCCTCAGGTAGCTTACTCTTCCTCTGAATGAAGATTTTGCAGCTGTGCTTTCAGGACCTTTTCAAAGTTTTGTTCCCCAGTAGGCAGGGGAGAGAGATTTATATTCAGTGTAACTGCACTATGTGTTGTGAATGAGAAGCTGGCTACGTGATAAATAATTAGTGTTAATAAACAGTAGGTTGAGAAAACAAAACACAGCAACAACAAAACAGGCAGCAAACAATATGCCCAGACTGCAGCTTCTATCCTGACTGTTGAAACCCATGAATATTGTTTATCACAGTGAAATAATAAGGCATAAAATGATATGAAACAGTCTGCTGTTCTTGAAGGCTGTTTTAAGTTTTGAAGTCCTGTTGTGCTAGCCTTTGCACACATGAGCATGTAGCAGTGCTGCTTTCTTGAGGATCCTGCGAGCCAGAAACAGGACCAGTTGCATTTTGAAATTCGAATTACAAGGATGAGAAGTACAAGTTGCCCATTATAATGGTTAACTTTGAGTTCTTTAATGAATTATTTTTACATTCTGAGATTCACACAATAAAAGTCTGGGGTTTTGCTGTTACAAATATGTGAACGTTTTCTTGCTCCTTCATTAGATTTGGGATGAAAATGGCTGTGCAAATATTCTTGGCGGTTTTATTTTGCATTTCATTTTGAGAAAGAGTCAGGAAGCAGGCACTGGAAACATTGGAAAAAAAGTTATTTCAGGTAACTCTCTAGAGATAAGGCAGAAATTCTTCTCTGCTCAGAATGATATTTCAATCATGTATCAGCAATAGGGTATTTCCTGTCAGAGTAGTGATTGTGGCCTGCTCTGCCAACAGGCCACTCAAGGTTTCATAGAGGAGCAAATAAAAATTGTGGTCATTTCAGGGTTTTGAAATAAAAGTATAACCATTTTACATTTTTGTAGTTTATGTGTATGTCTCTGTGTCTATTATATTGCTGCTGGGCTACTTTTTCTGCTGGTATTACTCCCAGCTGTTGAATAAAGTTTTTCAAAATCCTAAGATATTTTGCTTTAAGCTTGCTGATTAGTCTTGTGATTCCTAACTTATTATGCGAATTTATTATTATTAATTCAATTACAAAATTGGTAACTCAAAAACAATAAGTTTAGTTCCCTGAGTGCTTCATAGATACAAATACATCATAGGCTGTTCAGCTGCATTGTAATCTGAAAGAGAAAAACCCCCAGGGAGATTTCTCTCTGGCACTTAAAATTAGTGTTCTTAAGGCATACAGCCACTGTGTCTCCATAATTCCTTTTCACAGAGTATTTTTTTAGCTGTATGGCAGGAATCCTAGTCTAAGAGACAGATATTGGCTGTCATCATGCATGTGTAATAATGAATACTGTCAGTTGTGTGTCTCTGAGAAATGCAAAATGAATAAAATAATAAGCTCAGAAATAGTACAGTGAGCCTTCTGAATGCTGGTTGTGTGTCCATATATGTTGCATGAACATCCCAGGTGCCACTAATTGTAACATAAACTGGCTGTGGATGCTGTAGTTTGGTGGAGTATTTTTGCATCATAAAGTTATGGGAAGAGTTGGGGGGGTGTTTATAAATCCTTGTTATTCTGAAGAAGATAATTGAATGTGATAAGACTTCAGATGTGCTAAACCAAGTAACAATATGTTATTGTTATTATTGCCAGGTAAACATGGAGTAGGTGGAAGAGTATTCAAGTGGTCTGGGTAGTCCTATTATTGTGAGAGTTGCTAGGCCTCGCAGGAGCATGTAGAATGCTTGTTTAGTCTTTGGAAGAAGACACTGACATGCTCTGATGATCACGCTTTCATTTTCTGCAGGCATGTTAGACTCCCTTCCTTCTTAAAGCTGATTGTCATTAATGTTCTGTACTTTGAGCTGCTGGTCCTGGGTTTGACAATCATTCAAAACAAACTATACTGCAAAACTCTTCAATTTATCTTCTTTATCTTTGCTGTCATAAACTTAAGTGTAATGAACAATCATCAAGAGAAGACCCCTTGCTCACAGGATCAGATTGCAACAACTTGCGTCCATGAATGTAGGCATTCAAGGTGAATCTTGATTCCATTGAAATCAATGACAAGGCTTACATTAGCATCAATTTTACCATCTCCTTGCAAAGTAATGAGCTTAATAGCAAATTTACTTATACTTTAAAATACTGGAGCACAGTGTTGCTGACATCGGTGACTTCTCAAGCTACAGATAAAATTGAAAGAATAAAATACTTCTCATTATCATCTCTCAGTTTTTAACGGCTTACTGACACTTAAACAAAAGTAGCAAGGATCTCAGTTTATGGACTAGGCCATTAAAGTACTGCCACCTTACATATATGCTGCTCCTTCTTCTCCCATATAGGGGCTGCGGATTATTTTTTCAGATGCTTCCAGGCTCATCTTCAGAATGAGTGTTTGTAGCCCTGTGAGAGCTGCAATTCGGATCTATGCAGAGAGTTATGAGAGAGATCCTTCCCAGCACAATAAGGAACCACAGGTAATGCAATAGTGTTGTAATAAGTCAATAAGTAACACACTACCTCTGTAATAGCAATGGCCACAGCTTGTCTTCTTTAATCAGAAGGAAAACTCATCGCTTTGATCCCTCTTTATTGTGTTTGTGGATGATTTTCCTAATCATGTGACTGTACATGTTTTGAGGCAGTGATAAATGCTGGCCAATGACTTTAGGTCTATTAAGAAAAAACATGCTATTTTTCATTTTTTACTCTTTTTTTTGCAAGTGTTGTGCTCTGAATTATAGAGCAATATTAAAAAGAAGATAATTGTTTCTCAAGGGCATTATTGAGAGATCACTTAGTTATGGCATCCCAGACATTCCTTATGATGAGAGTACAGCTAGGAAATCAGGATGTCAGAGTCTAAACAATATAGGATTCCTTGTAAGGGGAAAGACTTGCAGCTGTCTGAGAACTCTCTCATATCAGAGTCTTCCCTAAGAAGAGTAAGAGTTGAGAACAAGTTGCAGTATAGTCCAGCAGTTGCCTAAACCAATTCATAAGGTAAACCACACCTTGATCTCTTGGTTTTTTTCCCAGTAAAACACCTTCATACTGTGATACACAACAACAGAAGCCTAAGAATATTTCATTGAAGAGAGGATAAGCATTTGGCTTGTAGAAAATTAAAACCTTGTAGTTTGAAGTCCCATGTAGTTGTATATTCATTTCTGGAATGCAAATGCAAATTAACCAAAACATAAGAGCTGTCAGATATATTTGAAACCTAGGTAGAATGTTTGACATTGTTTTTTCACCAGATTCCCACCATAAATTTAGCAGGTTTCTTATTATGCTATTAAACAATTGTCTATCAGTCATTAAAAGTGCTCCAGTTTTTCCTGAAATGCTGCAGACTGGATTGCTGCAGATACAATCTATTAATTTTACTTCCTTTTTCTTAAAAGTAACAGTTTGTATCCTCAGTAACTCCATGGGTAGGATACTTAAAATACTATGTCTTCAACAGAGTAAAGGACCGTTTTTTTAGCAGTTTTATTGTTTTTCTCCTCATCAAGGTTTAATCAATTAGCAGGGTCACGAATACGTTTTGACCAAGGAGGAATACTGCCACAGAACCTTTTGCACTTGCAACTGTATTTGGTTTATGTGGTGAGGTTATGATGGCAGGGAGCTGCAGGTTTGAATTCTGTGATGAGATAGCAGAAGCTGCCTCCATGTTGAACAGAGCCAGTTCCATCTGGTTTCTAGATGAACCCACCACTGGCCAAACTGAGACTGTCAGTGATGTTGGTAGCCCCTTTGTGATAACATGTTTAAGAAGAGTGAAAAATGCTGTGCAGCTGCAGTAGGGAGGAGTGAGAATATGTTGGACAAACAACTGTGCATGCACCAAAGTCAGTGACGAATGGAGAGGGAGTGCAAGAGTGGCTTTGTGGGCTCCTGGCCTCCAGCCGAGGTGGGTGCACCTTCGTCAAATTCTGTTACAGCACAGATTGTTTATCAGTTGCATTTAAGCTGACTTACTTAAGTATGTTTCTTTGTGATATGTAGGCAAGACGTAGCTGAAATGAAAATAAGTCATTGTAAGAGAAACAGGCTTAAGAGTCCATTTTAGGGGTTTGCAGTGGACTTACAGTAACCTGGTGATGAACATGTTTCCTGTGTAACAAATCCCAACAGAAAATACTAAAAAATTTTTTGAATCATTGTAGTGACTAGCTTGAGTTTGCCTCATATCAGCATCCTTTTTTTTTTCTCCCCTCTCAGACAAAGCCTTTTCCAAAATTCATCAGCCATCTTTTCAGCAGTTTTCACGTTTCTTTAGTTTGCTTCTATTCTCTTTGACAGTGTAACTGCTGATGGTGAATTGTCCACAGATAAGGAGAAATCTAAACCACACCTTCCAATATGCACGCTGAGACATGCATAGTGTCCTGAAACACTAGTATGACAGAATTAATCATTCACATTAGAAATACTGTACTTACGTGATTGAACCTAATTCCTTTTCCACAAAAGGCTGGATCTTTTGAGGTCCTCTCCAACCTGGGCTTTCTATGATGAAGACTTGTCCAGAATAAAATTTGGGCAAGACTCTATAATAATACTCAGTATGATCCAGGCTCAGCTACTGTGAGAGTGCTAGCTGTAGTCCCTGCTTTGGTCTGAGAACCACCAGAAAGCCTAACATGCTTTGAAGCAGTATGGGGCAGATCAAAGCTCTGCCTTCTAATTCTGGCCCCAGGGAGCCGTTCAAGTGAGTGGTGCTCAAGTGGAGCTCTCCTCATACTTTGTTATGCTTCACTACTTTGTAACTCTGCATGAGTCTTACAGGAAGAGCTGATTTTCAGGCCTTACTGCCTTCAAGTGTGTATTTTCTTTCAGAAACATTAAAGCTTCCACAACAGTGTTCTTTTAACCAGACAGAAGCAAGGATTGTAAGGGCCATTTGTTCCAATTTCTATGTAGGCAAAAGAGTAGCTAGTATGAATGTAATGGTCACTCAAATCTTATTTTAGTAGCATTTTTCATACAGTTAATTGGTAATAACTTTCCATCTAGAATAAATAAAGCATGGACAACTGCCTGATGACAACATAAGAGTCCAAGGGAAAATAGTAAAACATGCCAATAATTAGAGGTGTGAGGACACAGGTAAATGTGAATAGCAGTGGATTCTGGCTGTTGAGTGATCCCTTGAAGGAGACTGGAAGCAGCAGCCTCATGGTCACCTGGGAGATAATGAGTAGCTACTTTTTTTTCCTTGAGTAGTTCAGTTCTTCCTATAAGACAGTATCAACAAGAGTGAAAGTCAGGAGCAATAAAGAAAAATTACCATCATGGTCTGTGGAAAGTATATAAAAAGCAATTAAATGTAAATATTTTTAAATTACATGTGGTATAGTGGTGATGCAATCTAGCTCTAAAACAAAGTCTTCAAAACCATGCCAAACACTCTTCTAAAACTGGAATGTTCCCCTCTAGAGTAGAAGACTGCTCTGTTGATGTTCCTTGTCACTGGTGTTGCCCCTCATCACACTCCTGAGAAAACTGCTTTCCCGCTGACTTGGCAAATTTCATTAAAAAGATGATTTCTTTGGTTTTAACTAGTCAAATGAGCATCCAGCTAGTTATTTGGGGAAGTTCAGTTCATTATAACAAACAACAGGTTTCTGTCTGAAGTCTTGGGCTGGACCTTTATGCATTGGCATATCTTTTTCGAAAGTGAGTAAAGTTATTAGCTGTGCTAAATTTAACACAGATTGAAAATCCAGAGATATGTTCAATGGGCATGGAGTACTAAAATAAGACTTTATTGATCTTTCAGCTCATTTATAGCCTCATTTTATAGATCAATTAATTATTCAATATTTGCAGATCCCAACACATGGTTAAATATCTTATTGTTCTTTGTCTAGCTATCTGGATATCTTATCAAACCTTGGTAAGATTTGAGCAGGAAGATTCATACACAAAGACCAGGAAAGAACTGATCCATTATGCTGAGCTGGTTTTAGTTGTAAATCCAGCATGTCCTTCAACGGTGTGGTTATGCTGCGGTTGCAGGATAAGTGCTCTGGCAATAGTGTAGTGAGTAATCTGGCTTGTTCTGAATATTGACTAATTAGTTCTGTTTACAGTATCTTATTATTCATTATGTGAACTGCAACAGCAATAAAGTGATGTTGTCATAGATCTGTGCAGTCTATATCAGGTAGTCTTTAATGGGATGTGTTGAATCACAAATGCTGCAATTACTTTTGCCAAAGACTGGTGAACTACATGCCACTCAGCTACAGAAGAAGCTTGGCATCCTTGTGCAAGAGCAGGGAACCGAAATCAATAACCCTGAAGTCCTTATGTCCAATATAACTTAATAGGGATAAAATAAAAGGTTTCCACATGGGTCTGAAAAGGTAGCCTTAACAACTCTAAGCACAAGTGAAGTTTGCTAGAGAATTATTGCCTCTTCATTTATTTTTGAAGCACTGTGCTATTTAGCATGGCTCTGATTGGCTGTTAAAACATACAGGACGGTCCAGAGAAATCATATGAAGTTTTGCCTTTACTCTTAAAATTCGTAAGATTTTCTTTGAGGGGATGTGGGATATGGAGATCTCCATCTGTTTGATCACACTCTTAGATAACACAGTATGTTTGTGCATTTCATGGAATGAAATTCTGATTCTGTCCAAAGCCATACAGTGAACAAATTTTAAATCAGCTGGAACTGGAAGGAACACAGGAAAAATACTTCATGTGATGGTATTTATAAAATACATCATTAATCAACAAGTTAGTTTACTAAATGTAGTCTTCACTCAAAGCTCTTTGGGTATACTAGAAGAGAACTAATCTGTTGCAAATGTAGAAGTTTCCATGAGCCACTTGGTTTACATTTTCCTCTTTTTCACCACTCATGCCTACTCTTCTGTGTTGGTAGGGGCAGAATAGCTGGCCTCCTGACCTTTACTGTAATTTTATTTGAGTTAGCATGCAGACCATGCATAAGAGTAGAGAAGTCAGTTTCTTCTTTCCCACAACAGATGTACTGCCTCATGGTAATAAAGTGAGCACCAGCAGTTCTGTGGATGTTACAGAGCCAGTCCAGTTGGTTCTGTGGTGAACTAACACTCCACATTGCTTAGATCTTCTAGGATGGGAGGCTGTAGCATTAACTTTTCCAGAGACTTCTGTTTTTTTGAACTGCAGGACACAAGCAGGCACACTGAGCTGAGCTGTGCATTGAGCCGTTATGGAGGAAGCCCTGCAAGAGGTACAGCTGTGGTGCAGGACTGTGTGACCTGTGTCATCTTAGTGCTGATCTGACTTTGTAGTTATTTCAGTCCATTCTTTGTGTCTCTTCCATTACTTTGGTGTTGCCTTTTTGCTTAGACTTGTATTGGACTGGGCAAAATGAATTTGAGACCTCTGGAAAATGTCCATGCCTTGGCTCTGTAAAAGTCACGAACATTTGGTTTTCCTAACAAGATTGAAATTCAGTACAAGTTGGGGGAGAAATTGAAGAGGAAGGATTCATGAGCTTTCCAGGCAAAGTCTGGACAGATGACTTTGCATCAGAACTGCATGAATTTTTAATGAAAGTTGGCAAGTTGTAATGTAGGTGCTACACATAGTAGTTTTTCAAAAGGTGTTTCTTGACATATAGATGACATTTATCCACCTATTTTGTGAAAAATATTTTCTAAAGCCAAACTCCAGACACATGCTGAGCTTATAACCTGCAAGCAGGTACATTCGAGCCCTGCCTGAGCTGTTCATAAACCAGATGCATCATGGGACAAATCATATTTGCGAACTTGTCTAGAAGAAAGGGAGCTGTATGGAGTTTTCTTTCAAGATCACAGAGAGAAAAAAATGCTACCTGAGCCAATCAGGAATGACACACCTCAGACAGCTCTTGTACAGATTATTCCCAAACAGAAGGGCTTTTGATCTTTGCCTTATGTCTGCTCTCTGCTTGTTTGATCTATTTCCTGGTATGAATTACCGTTCCTACCAGTTATTTTTGAAGAGGTAAAATTTCTATCTGTTACTACTGAAGCAAAATTCTGATTTAAGTCAGTTTTGTTAATTTCCAGTTCTTAAATTTTATCTAAAGGATAACATTGCATATCTCCCAAATACTTTCCAAGAGAAATAAATGTGTTCGTAACATACAGAGTGATGGCAATTGCCATTTGGAGTCGATAAGTTCAATAGTAAAGCTTATACAATTTCTTAAGTGAAAAGAACCATTTAAAAAAATACTTTAAAATAAAAATCTTCTAAGATACAGAAGTGCTTATAGAGCCCTATTAAATGTAAATGGCTGCTGGCTGAGATTTGTCTTTTGCAGCTGAAATATAAACTATTCATTGCAGAAATATATCAGTTTTAAAAGGTTTATAGAGCTCTGGTTCCTTGTTACTCTGCCCTGCCCTTACCATTTGGAAGAGAATGCACTTTTGGTTTTTTGCATCTGCAGGATGAAGAAAGTATAGTTAAATTGAAGTGTGAGAGAACAGAACTAAAATAGGACTTTCTCTGTTGAGAACTGTGATTGTATAAGCAGAATATTTAGTAGTAATTGGAATGACTTGGCAAAAGTGCAGCAGCTAAATTGTTTAGGTAAATGAGTGTCTGTGCATAAACTAATTTGATTTTGCGTTTAGTTCAAAGCATTGTGTAGAGTTTTGGGTTTGGTTGTTTTGTTTGGTTTTGTTGTTTGGGTGTTTTTTTTTTTTTTTTTTTTTTTTTTTTTTTTTTTTTTTTTTTTGGTTTTTTTTTTTTTTTTTTTTTTTTTTTTTTTTTTTTTTTTTTTTTTGTGGTGTTTTGTTGGTTTTGGTATTTTTTTTCCTCCAGATTGCAATTGTTGGTTAAGAAAGCAGGCTCGAGTAAAGATTGTCAGTAGAGTTGCTTTTTAAATTTCGCTCTTCTTTTTAGATTAATAAGGAAGAGGTTTCTCAGATGAGTGTCAGAAGGACTTCAGATACTTGGGTCTTCTTTCAGTTCTCTTTAATCTGTGTTGCTGGAGGCAAGGAATTATATGGTCCAGGCCTTATAAATTGGCACATTTTACTATTTACTTTTGCAGCATTTGCCCACAAATGCAGATTTGTGCTCCACATTTTAATCTTCTTTAGGCATATTTGACTTTAATGGACTTGTGTTCTGCTTCAATGATTATTCAGTAGATAGGTATCTACACATATGGAGCTTTTTGAGCAGTAACATGTCAGACTGTTCACATTTGTGTGTAACTTCAGTTTGATTGTAAATTCATTTGACACCAGTGGCATTCACAGTGTTATTCTATGACTCTGCTTGCATTATTAGTTTGTCTCCTCACTCTTTTCATTTAACTGCCTGACCATTTGTATTAATAAAGGAAACACCGCATACTGTCAGAAACAGTTAGGTAGCTGGAACAGATTTAAAGTGTTGATTATGTTAAGCTTGTAAAGAAGATACCTGTAAATTAAAGCTCTCAGGAATGATTGTTTTGTTTGATTTGATTTTTAAACCTGACAGATTTAAAGCCAGTATGTAGTTCTGAAAAGAGGTAGCAAGGGGAAATCTTTTGAGGGTTAGAAAATTATCTTGCTAGTTTTGTAGTCAAATATATCGATTCTCACAAAGGAAGGTTTTTACACAAAACTTAGCTGGGTTTATGTTGGCGTATAATTTAATTAATTGAGAGAGGATCCAGTTGCCATTTGGAAGATTATATTTTACTTTGTTTTCATATGGTATTATCGTAGTTGTTATCTGCACTCACCCATCTGGGCAGTTTCACACATATAATAAGGTCTATAGCTTGAAACTTCAAAGTTCATGTCGCTTCTGTTGGAATTAATTTCTATTTAATACAGTTATAGGTTGTATTACTCAAAACACACTTTAGTGATTTCTGTTAAGGTAATAGTTAAAGTACCTGCTGACCTTAAGATTCACAGATTAAGCGTTTATAGGAAGAAAATCCCATCTACATGGCTTCTATTCATCAGACTAGAAATAATTCTAGTTTTGTGATTTCTAGGTTGTTTTGTACAGCAGATTTCACAGGAGCTACACAACTCCTGTTACATAGACAGTATCAGTATAGTGTATTTACTGGTTTCTCTTTTCCGCATAGCTTAAGTATATTCAGTGCCCTTCTCCAAACATGTGCTCAGTGTGATACTTCATTATATCAAACCTGACAATATAGACACTGTAACTGTGGCTATGTTTATTCTTATTAAATTATTTGCTGTTATTATACAATACAACAGTTAAAAGGGGGCTTTACATCTTTTGATATTTCTTCTTTACGTAATTCGATGTATTTCTTCCTCTCTAGGCTGTGCTGAGTCCTCTTATAGCAATCGCACTGAAAATATCTCAGATTCATGAGAAGACAGGGCGAAAGGGACCTACTGTCATCACCTGAAGCCACAGAAGATTGCTAAACCAGGGCCAAAAGAGGAACAGAAAGCGAGAGATAAGACCTTGCTGAAACATGTTAGCCATTTGTGCCTTGTATGGTTTTAAAAGTTTTCTTGGGGATAGAGTTGGGAAGAAAAATTCAATATAATACTGAGTATATTCATTTACATTGATCTCCAAATAAAGTCGTGCATTGACTTCTTTGTTTTACCTGCAGTATCTTAATATCAGATAAAAATACAACCAAAGAAAGAGGCCTTAACCTTTAAATGTTGTCAGCAACAAGAAAGGAATACTGCTTGGTTTTGAATGCTGTGATAAAGGCTGGGGGAATTTCAGTTAGGGAGAGAGAGGAAGGAGCTGCAAAGCAAAGACATGCTTGGGGAATATTGAATTAGATCCTTTTCACCTTTTTCCTGATTTATGAAGAGGTGTACAGAGTATGTCTGAGGCATAAAGGTTGTGTACTAAGCTTTGCAAAGGGCCAGGGTTTCCTGACCTGACACCACTTCTTCTCTCCTATCTCTCCCATTGCTCACAAATGCACACTGGCAGCAGTGTTCTGTACACACCTGCACATGCTCCCAAAGAAGGGGTTAACCTGCATTTTCTTTCACCCCTGCCTTTAAAGCGTATCAATGTGACTAGTGCCTTTAGATTTTTCTGACTTTTTGACTTTCCGGGTTTTTTCCTCCAAAGGGAGACGTTTGCGCTATAGAAGCTGATCATGTCCTTCCAGCAGTATGTCGGGTGTGGAATTTGGCTGTCTTTTGCAGTATTCCTCATGTCAGCAAATAATATTGGTGCTTACTGTGTTTGAACGGTAATCACTGCAAGGCCAGCAACTTTGCACGAGGGAGTTATTATGGAAGTTTTTTAAGTCTTCAGAATACTCGTGCTCCACTTCCCACAAAGTGCTAAGTGAAGCCTGTAGCGGAGAGGAGGTGAAAACAAATGCTGATGAGCTAAATAGAAATACTTGTCTGATCCGCCAGCTGGATGCAGTTTCTGTTAGATTCTTTGTAACATTGGATCACAGAATAAAAAGGAGCTGGAGGAGAGCAAAGGGAGAGGAGATACCCCGACATAGATCTGAGAAGGATATTGGGGATATGGCATTAGTATTTTTCTGCTTGTGAAATAACACCTCAGTTCTAGCTACAATACTGGGCTCTAAAGAAGAACACAAACACTTTATGCATGTGACTTTTTTGAAAGCTTTGGTTCCTTGGGAACAGTGTGGTCACTTGCATAATTTGTCAAGGTGTCTTTGTGCAACTTGCTTCTTTGCCGTGTGCTTCAATTCTTTGTGGTTGTCAAATTTAATGCAATTGATATAATATTATAGCAAAGAAGAATGTTTTGATTTCTTTCAACACTTCTGTCAAAAAATTTGCTATGGCTTTTAGTACACAATAAAGAGTAATGCTGTATTTCTGTCTTAATATGTAACTGTGGACAAGACACACTGCACTTTCAAGCATCCTAATAAAATTGCCTTTACTATAATTATGTTATCTACTTAATTGACTCTAAACAAATGAGGTACTAATGTTCTTACATAGTATTTTACCTTGCCATTAAGTATTCCTATAAAACAAAAGAGATTTTAAGGCTTTAGTTCTTTTTCTTAAGAGTTTTATTTATTTATTTCAGATGAGCATAGCATTCTCACACACTTTGGAGATCTACTTTTGAATGTAAGAATATTCATCTTTACAGAAAACTTGTTTATCTAATCTTTCATTTTTCTTCTAGATCAAACTCCTCTAGATGCAGAATAGTGAGCTCCAAAGTAATGGATTGCACATGATCAAGCACAGACATTATTATGAACATTTATGAAGGATTATGAGACTTAGTTCACATTTCTGGGCTGCATGAAAGAACATTCTGAAAGGCAGTCCAAGAACTTCTAAAATCTTTTACACATTCTCTGACAATGAAGTAATTTTTGATCACATGGTGAGTTAGGTCGTTACAGTGCCACGCATCCCATTTGCCAAGCTTCTGGGACTGGGACTTGCACTAAGAAAAGTACGATGTGCTGAAGCCAGGTGTATTTCAAGCTGTGTGGTGGGAAGACTCATGAAGAATAAATCAGAACTGTGAACTTGCACTTTCATCAGAAAGTCACTAGATCACCAACTGCAGTAAATGGCAGTCTGCTTTCACAAAGGTGGTCTTCCTCAACAAAGGATGTGTTTTAAAACCTCCATACTGATTTTGTCCAGGGTTTCAGAAACAATAGTTGACCCTCTGTACTGACATGGAGAAAAGGGCTATTTGTGTATGGTTTTGAATAGCTGTAAAACTTCCAGAGCTAGCCTAACCCCAAATCCACTCACCATCCCTGTTTTTATGATGACTAGTGATACTGATAAACTGCAACAGCTGGTATTTTCCACCAGTTAATTGCTTTTCTCTGCTAGAAGATGAATATAACTTCATAAGGCTGAAGTACAGTGTATATCTTTATAGCTGATGCGTTTGGGAAAGGACTGTAGCCATAATCTCATAAAGTATGCTGCATATCCTGACGTCTTTTACTTATTAACACAAGAGATGAATGCTTGGAAAAGAGGAACATACATGAATTTACACAAAGATGCAAGGCTTCTAAGAACACACCATGCACCTAACACAGGAAAAACTACTATTAATACTCCTTGTCCTATCACAGCATCTAGGTGCTGTGACAGACACACAGACCTTACTGTTCCTGTTGTTGGATCAGCAGCTTTATCAAGCCTGGAAATTGCAAGATTCTCATGTTGTTCAGCTGTGATTGTGCTGACATTTGCTTTGACAATAAATTTGTTTCCCAAAACCTCAGATTTTTCTGTACCTAGCACATTAATATACACTCCCAGCATGGGAGTATATATTATCTTCCCTGTCCATGGGAGGAATAGAAGAGGAGTTCAGAGAGACCAGTGACAGAGAGAATAATTTCATGGTACAGAAGCAGAGGGATGACCAAGATAGGGCTTGGTGGGTCCCAGAAACAGGAAGAGGCAGCAGGTGGCAGAGGGGATAAAGAGAGGACAAATTCCTGGATTCAGCTGGAAAGAGAGAGACATTATGAAAGAATACTAACAGCACAACAATGGACTTGAGTGAGGGAAGGAGAGGAAAATAAATTAAAGGTGGGAAGGAAGCAAAATATAAGGATTTTAGATTCGGAGGGGGGAGGGTTTAATA